AGATATGAGAACATAGGAGCAGAGAAGTTCTCTGATCTGACTTAAAATCCCTTTGGTTGCTATGTTGAAAAAAGACTATAGGGGGCCAAGACCCCACAAACAAGAGTGGTTGGGAGGCTGGTACAATTACTCCACAAGAGAGGTCAGTGGCTTGGCCCATGTAAGGAAGTCTACATGCATTCTGAAGCTGAAGCCTGAAGCTGGGAGGGATGTGGACATTTGAAAACAGATGAATCAAGGATAATAAGCACAAAGATTTCCACCCTAGCAACTCAAGAGATAGAAAACATTAAGAGAGGAGACTATTTGGGGAAGGCAGATCCAGAATTGGGTTTTGAACAGTATAAATTTGAGATGTCAAGGAGTCCTGGTGTGGTGCTCTAGGATAAGCACTAGATCAAAAGGGTGGTTTGCATCGCAAGATCAGTAGTTCAAATCCACTAGCCACTCCTTGGAAACCCTGAGTCCAACCAGACTTGATGACACTTAACTAAAACAACAACAGGAACTACCTACTCAGTAAGCATTGTGATGTTTGAGAAGTCCAGGCGACTGGGCTGATCAGTCCAGGGAATGATCAGAGTCACAGTAATGCTAGTCTTTATAGTACATGCTCCATTATGCAATTATTATTCTAATAAAAAAAAATAGGTTTCCAGGAGCTCATCTGTTTCATCAAAAAGATACTCCTGTGGATATTATACTGTAATAGTCCCATGCTGAGAAGCAGTCCTGAACTCCCTTTTCCCCTTGAGGTTTGTGCGGTATGACATCTTATTTGCCCATTTCAGAGGGATTAAACGCCTCCCTCCCTTCCCTACCCTACCATATCCCCAAGAGGTGGCCAAGTGGTTTCCAGCAGAGAATATAGCTTAGTTGCTCTTGCAGCTGTATTATAAGGCAGATGAGAAAAGCCTTCACTGTGGAATAGAAATATTTCAGTGATAACTTGGTTCCAGTGTACCTCAAGAGAGGAGGTGGACATGGACATGCAGTACACAGTGGCAGGCTTCATCTTCTCCTGGCTGCCTTAACATAGAGCTCTTAAGCAAAAAAGACAGGGCTTCACAAAGTTTTTGGAAGAATGGAATGAAAAGATAATGGGATTTTTTTTTTCATTAACTTTTTGAAGACCCCTGTATGGTAAGGAACACCCAACTGTTCGTGTTTGGTGGTAAATTATCTAAACTTACAGGAGGAACGGGTGTGAGTGGGTGACTGAGGGGACCATACAGAAATATGTGCAGGTTTTCCTAGGCTTTATGCTGCTGCAAATAGCAGATGCCTAATTAAAACATTTGCAATTAGTTTGGCTTGTTCTGTGATTCCTTCCTGCAAACAAATAAGATGGGAGAATATATTGGCTCTTGACAATCTAGTTCTTAAAAAACCTTTTTCTCTCATCATCACTCTTTTGTCCTCTTCTGAAAAGAATGGAACCACTAAGTACACATAGTGAAGCATCTGACTTACCTCTTGTTCAAAGCAATACTTTCTTCCTTTCATTTCATATTACAATTAACCAGTTGCTTTTTAAGCATGCGTATTTACTTAGAGTTTAACCCAAGTTCTTACTTGGAATGTTTTTACAATTTAATACAAGTTCTTATTTATTTTTATTCAGTGATGAAAACAGTCCTTCTATCCTTCTCATTCAACACACTCAACTGCACTAATGCAAAGTTACCAGCCTCCTCAAAATGCAAATACTGTAGTTTCTAAGGATGGGAAAAGTATTCACCAGCCTTTGAAAGACCTTAAGGTGTGTGTGTGTGTATGTGTGTGTGTGTGTGTGTGTGTGTGTGTGTATACGCACACGTACATAAAGCATTACACTTATTGCCACTTTACAATACCACTTACTTGAAGGCACAGATTTTTCACTGCAGGAAAAATAAACAGGTCCAGGCTAAATTGAGAAATTTGAACCATGTGTGAGTGACTATTTCTTCATTAATTTTTTTCATTCAACATTTATGTGAGTATTTTTACTGGCTCATATGATTTTTCAACCTTTTTAAACTTCAGTATATTCTGCAGATGGTTCCTGATACAAAGATTCTGGGTATCTGTGTAACATTTACATATGGGAATCATACATATTATTCAGAAGTGGCATACCTCATAAAGGTGCTAACTTCAAAATACAGCGCTTTAGGAAAACTGTCACCCCACAAACATCCCACATGTAATAAGAAACAAACGAAAATACTTCTTTACATCAAGTTGAAAGACTCAATACAAAATCAAAGTTTTTAAATCTAGTGTTCATTCTATCTTTTCTGAGTTCAAATAGACTCACAAAATGCACCTCATTCAAAAATGTCCTAAAACCAAAATAATGTGTAGTGAGGGGTTAATAAAGATTCAAATAAAAGTTACCAAATAAAAACAAGCATGGGTAAACTAAATTCAAATAGCTAGTGCAATTATTTTTTAACTGATAGTTTAGATTAATAGGTGGAGACAAGGTTCTGCCACTGTATTTAAGGTTAGGTTAATAATTAACTTTGGTGCCTGGAGTAGTTTAATCAAAGTGCACTGTAAATCATAAAACTCCATGTAGACTAAACTCGGTATTTAAAAAATACATAAAAAATGCCTGCCGTCTTGCCCTCTAATAGCCATTTGCAAGAGATGTAAAAAAACTGGGCATTTTCATTCAGAATTGGTCATAGGCATCGATGAGGTAAAATCTAAAAGAATTCGAGTATTCAGAAGCACCAATCTTCCCCAGCTACCAGCACATGGAAAACTAACAACTATATGGATAGGAAGGCAAGAATTCCTACTTGAGAAATACTTTAAATGCATTGGGCCAAGGTTGAGGGTTGGGGGGCCATTCATTCTCTTTGGCAGAACGTTGTAACTAGGTTCAATGGCTCTTTAGTTTTGAGGCAAGGAAAGTTGTATGTATGAGTGATCGCGCGCACGCGCGCACGCCTGCGTGTGTCTCTGTGTGTGTCAGCCCGCGCCTGTGTTTTGAATTTGTGCACGGATCACTCTGAGAAGCAATTCAGTTTCTCCAGAGCGTAATTAAACAAGGAGCTATCCCACCGTAGCTACACCTGGCCACAGCACCCCCTAAACAGCCACGTTCCTCTAGAGTAACGAGTCGAGCGGCCGGCCCAACTGCAGGCCGAACGCAGAAGGCCGTCGCTGCAAGTGCTTGCCCTGGCTGTGAAGACAGCGCCTCCAGTCTCTCTTGTCCATCACCAGCAAGGAGCCGACCAGGCTCTCCTCTGCTCCTCCCTGGACACCCTCCGGCTGGAAACCCGGACACGGGGAGCAGGAGGGCTGGATGCTGCACTTGAATCTCATTACTTGCAAGCCAGAGAGCTTCGACGTATGTCCACATGTACCGGTGCGCCATCCTCTGCCCACAGTGGTCACACCAGCATCAAGAGTCTTGCCTCTGCACGTTCTCCCCCCACCACTCTCACCGACTGCTTGAGAGACTGTTAAAGCTAATACAGCGCCGCGACCTCCACGAAAAGGGTCGCGAGTCAGGGAGCGCCCCTTTCCAATCCGCCAGTAACAGACTCCTAGCCGACTCCCGAAATGCCCGTCCGCATCTCTTCTGTCTCGGATTTCTCTCAAGCTTCACTTGCTGAGCCCCAATCCAGTCGTGCCCGCCGCCCCCTGGCTTTCAGAGAAACTTTCCAGAAGCTCTGGGTATAGTGACCCGACACTGGAAATGGGACGAAGGGGAGGGAGGATGCTGGGCGGAGGGGCAGCGGTGAAGCGGGAATGATAGCGGAGTCCAGTTTCCTTTCCCGTCACCAGAAAGTCCGGGACCGCTCCCTACCTCCTCCCTGCAGAACCCGGGTCCTGGAATAAGGCAGGGGCCTCAGGGTCTTACTTTGCACCTAATCCAATATTTGAGAATTGACAGAAGCAAAGAGAACCCGGTGGAATGACACTCCCTATCCCAAAAAGGTTGGGAAGAGTGGATGGGCACTGCCGGCTTACTCCCGTGCGCCTCACAGCCCCAGAGTCAACACTAATAGGACATGGCTGGGAGTTCAGGCATCCAAACCCTGGAGTCGCGGCAGACCCCTTGTATGGGTAACGAGCCTTAGGTCATATCTTACTTGGTATCCCCACCCTTCCCTCTCCTTGGAAAGGAGGGATCGCATAGATTTTGAACGAGGGCGCAGTGGGCGCTAGCCCCAGCGAGATAAGCTTTGTGGATGAGGGTTTGCAGTCGCTGTGGCCAGTGGTTTCGCCGCACTGGAAGGAGCTGCTGAGGGACAGGACCCTGAGCGGAGACACCGTGCCGCATCAGGAGCCTTCCCTTGGCACTCACTGATGAAAACAAAGCCTGTAGTCTCTGGTGCCAGCGGCCGCGGGAGCCAGAATGTCACCAAGAGGCAGGGCGCGCGGGTGCCAGGGCCATTACAAGTTTCCTTCACTCCATATAGCCCAGTACAGAGTCCTGCACGGACAACAAAAGACTCTCTCCGTCTCCCCACTGTCTGCGCGGAATCTTTTCTACCATCCCCAAGACCCACATCTGGTGCTGGGTGAGAGAGCGAGGTTCTACCCGACCCACTTCAGTCCTCGAGGGCAGAACCCCTAGCCCTGCTTCGACACCAGAACAAGGCGTTTCCAAGAACCCACCCTCTCGGCACTGCTTGGCTCCCAGCTGGCCAGAGAGTGAGGACGAGTTCCCGAGCCCACAGCCTGTGCATACACACCCTAACTGGGCAACCATCCCGAGCCGTCGCGGTACCGGGTGGCGTGGGGCGTATGTACTACTAGAGTAGGGAAGCTTGCTACGCGGAGTCCAGCGGTCTCTGGGGCACAGGACTGAGAGGTGCGAGCAGAGTGCACCGCTGCTCCCTTAGGGCAAGCAACGCTCTGGAGACCAATACAGGGCACAAAATACAACGCAGGCACTACAAAGCTGACAGCGCACGCCCGCCGCGGCCCCGGGACAAGCGGGCTGGAGCCGAGCTGCCCAGGAGCTGGGGCGCGACGGGGCACTACGGTCGTACCTTTTCGGTGCATCGACGGGCAGGCTGTCGGGGCTCTTCACCGACTGGTGCAGCGTGTCTCCCATTTAGTAATCCATTATCGAGGTGTTCTCTCCAGACCGCGAGCTGCGCTCTCTCCTTTGCAAGCCTTTGTCATTCCTACATGTGTGCTTGTCTCTTTGGGGGCAACAATCGCTGCGACTACTTTCTGGGATGCAAACAAGCTGTGTTCATCTCCAATGACAGGCGGAGGAGAGAGGAAAAAAGAAGCCAAAACAAAAAGACCAAAAAAACAAAAAACAAAAAACACACACAAGAAATGGGCAAATGTTCAAGAAACTCTTCTCCAAATCCAAATACCACTTGGATTCCACTCCAGTGAGTCTCTTCAGTGGTGTCGCCGATTAATAAGTCATTTCAGGGCGGGGGGCGGGGTGGGGGCTGGGGCAGCAGGAGTGCGCGCCTATAGCCACGCTCTGGGCCGGGAGTGCTGTGCCACGGGTGTGGCGATGCAGGCCGCTGCTGCACGCTCCTAGGCAGGCATCGCGGGAAAGCAGTCCCACGGAGAAGCGCCGCTGCTGAGTCCCGAGCGCCTGGACAGTCGAGTGCGCGGGGAGCAGAGTTGGCTGCTGCCTCACCCAGCGCTGCTCACTACTCCTCTGCTACCAGAGAGGCCGCCGCTCCCGGGCGGAGCCAAGTCCCGGACTGGATTGCGCAGAGCGGACTCTCCGCCTGCAGCCCCGCCTCCTTTGGCTGGCGTTCTTCCGACCCAAAAGAGAGCTCTGTGTGTGTACTTGTGTGCGCAAGTGAGGCGGAGTGAGGGATAATCTGCGTGTTGTAGGTGCAGGTGGAGCCTTGAGCCGACTGGCCACGTTGCTTCCTTCCCCCTAGATTCCCGGGTCCGCGGCGCACTCGATGGAGGTCCCAGCGGGGGCGACCAGGGCTGGAACCCAGCCCTCACTTCCCCCACCCCCGCATCTACTCTAGCAAGGGGGAAAAAAATCCCGGACAGCATTGCTGAGTCCTGCCAAATCAGAAAAATAAATAAAAATAGACGTAGTGCAGGAGAGAGCTACAAGAAGGGATTTGCTCATCGATTTTCTTAAATGGAAAAGTTTTAAAGGATGAGGGTAAGTGAACTGCGAGCCGTTCTAATTCTGATTACTGTATCAAAAGGTAGATTCCAGAATGATGGAAGCTCTGTATGTATACAGATGAACTGGATAGAAGCCGATGCGGTGAAGAATATACTTCGAAGATATCAACACAGATTATTAGGTACAAACATACAAACGTCAATAAAGCATGTTAAGTAAGCAAACTATAGTACAGAGAATGGTGTTAACAACACTAACGACGACCTGTTTTAAAACTCCGAGAGTGTGCAGACTAATTTGAAATAAAATTAACTTCAGAATTAAGACGAAAACAATTTCAGTGAGAACCCGACAGTTTCATGGAATAAAATCGCCAACTACTTCCAAGGCGCTATTGTTATGATCACACAAAAAGAATGGCAGGCATAGCCTTCCTTCATCGCATGAACTTTGAATCGCCAAGGAGCCTTACAGTTGTAGGCTTGTGCCAACTCGTCAGACCTCGCCAAGTCCCACTCCCTGGTCTCTGCGCGTTCCCTGCCGCGCCTGCTGCGCCCCGCAAACAACAACTGCGCTGCAGCTGCTGCTCTCCCAGTGAGCTTCGCAAATGGTGCGGGCCATAGTCTGAGCCTTTAAAGAAAGTAACACAGGACGGACAAACTGTTCACAGAGCAGTATTTACTGTTCAGGGGACCAGGCGAGAAAAGCAGATGGGATGAGAGATCGGGGTCTCATTCCTACTTGTCGAGAGTCCTCAAATACTGAATTAGAAACTACTTGCTCACTAATTGGGGTTGAGTCCTTTTAAGCTGTCCCTGCTGAGAAGCCAGGTTACGCTCAGATAACTAAGCTACCTGCTCATGAAAACTCACGAAGAATAAATGTACACGCGATAACATCTTCTTCCCTTCCCCCTACAAATCACCAGGGAAAATGGCAATAGGAGAAAGTCAGTGTCACTGATGCTCATGCGAGCTGCCAGCAGGGGCCGCTATCTCCACCTTCCCAGGCAAACATCGCTCGAGGCCTGGGTGGCTGGAGGCGCGGCCCTAGGTGCGCGCGCAGGTCCTGCCGCTCAGAGGAACACACTCCAGGAGGGGGTTGGGAGTAAGAGCGGTCGGATTTCTGACTGTGCGCTGCCGGCCGCTGGTGGCGGGCTCAGTGCTGTGCTCCATTCCCACCCAGATTCGAACCGGGTGGGACGGAATGGATCTGGCGGGCCTAGACGGCTAGCCCGCCTGCGCTGTTTAAATCCAGACATGGGCCGGTAACAGCGGGCCCAAGTGAACCAGGTCCCCAGCTCATCCCCTGACATGGCCCACAGAGCAGAGGTCGGGCACAGGCGATCCCCAGGTTCTTCGTCCTGCACCTCTACCTGGTCCGGGTCGCCGCCCAGGTCCTTCCTTCGCTCTCCGCTGCTGATTTACATGCTAATTGTGTCTGGGAAAAGTTGTTTAATTGGCAGAATTAGGCAGAGCAAACGAATTGTTTCACAGGCTGAACCAAATTAATTCCGGGTTTAGCTCCTTCCCTTGGAGAAACAAACAATTAAGCTGTCTTGTTTGTTTTATGGATATATTGGAAATGCCCCACATCGAGTTCCAGGATACTTTTTAAAGGGAAATTATTTTCAGTATTAATACGAGTATATTTAATTTTCAGGAACGCTGAGCCGAGAAGGGAGAGATTAAATTTACCTAATTTATAATTATAGAATACAAGAGCAAAAGAATTTGAGTTTACGTTGCAGGGCTTAGAAATACCACCCAGAATCTTCCCTGCAATTACAGATCCTGAAGTCTCACCGTCCAATTAGTTGTCCTTAATCCTGACCACGTGACATAACATTTCCACCTGCCAGGAGAGAGATGCTCCAGGAGCTAGAAGTAAAACTAGCTATTGTGTAGCTCCTGAGCCCTCCAGGGAGCACCTGTGGGGAGGCCGCCTGGTGAAATCTGATGATGTCATTTCCACTTCTGTGCGTCTCAGACTTATTACCAGATGCTTGCCTTAACTTTTCAGTAAAACCACTGCCCCTCCAAAGTCTCCAAAGTTTTCAATTCCTTTTATGTCTTTACAGAGAAAAAAACAATGAGAGTTGAAGAATCACATCCTTAGACCTAGAAGGAAATTTACACATTCTTGTAGCTAAGTGACATGGAATGGAGTAATTAAGACATTGGTCTCTGGAGGTTGTCTGTGGTTTTTACTTAACTAGCTGTTGACCTTAGGCAAGTCACTTATCTCTTTGGAGCTCCAGTGTAAACCTGTTGCTGTCAAATATATTGTGACTCAGGGTGACACTATGTGTAACAGAGAACTGCTCATAGGATTTTCATGGTTGTAATTAGTTCAAGCTCATCAGCTGTTCCTTGGAAACCCTATACAGGGTTGCTGTGGGTCGAAACCGACTCGAAGGCACTTAACAACAGCAAATCTTCCTGAAACAGAATGGAAGGGCTTTGTTTTGGAGCAGCTTTCTTTGATGTGACTGCTGGGTGGTTTTGAATCACCAACCTTTACATTAGTTGTTTTTGTTTAGCACCTTTGTGTAGGTTTCCACTCATAGCACCCTGTATAGGGTTTCCAAGGAGCAGCTGGTAGGTTTGAACCACTAACCTTGTGGTTAGCAGTCCAGTGCTTATACTACAGTAGAGCCCAAACCATTTGTAGACCTTAGGGGTCTTCAGAACCCCTGTGCACTTAACCTGTAAAAAGGGATTTGCTCACTACCCATTTCCAGGGTTTGTAGGGATTCAATGAAATGGTGGGTATAAATGAAAAATCTTGTGCCTGGCACAGTGTACTCCGTAAAGGATAACTAACATCCTGGTTACCCTTGTCCTCCTCCACATAAGTCCCACCACTACACTACAGAGGAAAGATATTTTGTGCCAGTGATTGAGTCAGAGTTGGATGTTCGTCATCAATGAAGGCTTAAGTAACAATAGCCACTTTCTTCATATTACCTGGAAAAAGTGTGGTGGTGGTGGTGGTATGCCATGGAGTCGGTTCAAACTCATAGTGACCCCATGTAGGGTTTCCGAGGCTGTTAATCTTTACGGGAGCAGAAAGCCTCATCTTTCTTCTGCAGAACTACTGGTAGTTTTGAACTGCTGACCTTGAGGTTAGCAGCCCGACTCATAACCATTACGCTACCAGAACTCCTTGGAAAAAGTGTGGAGGAAGAAGGTTAAACTAAAACACAAAGGTAAGCTCACTCCCGATGCTTTTGAAGATTTCTTCTATTTGATTGAAATTACTGCTTTGAGGCAAAGAGGAGGGGTGAACTTTGGAGAAGAGGGGAGACCACAAAAGTGCCTTCAGTGCTTAACTGTGCAGCTCCTTGTAGGTATGAGTTCATGGGGGATGCTCAGAATGCAGTTTGTACATTCAGATGCTGGTGCTAGTCATAAACAGGAAATTTAAGTGCATTCTTAACCTTTTTGCAAAGTTCTCTCCATCTCCTTTCCTTAAATCCCAACCCCAAACCCACTGTTGACTCTATTCAGACTCCTAGGAACCCTTGAGGACTGAGTAAAACTGCCCTATGGGGTTTCTAAGGCTATAGATCTTTAAGGAAGCAGTTTGCCACAACTTTCTCCTGTGGAGCGGCTGGTGGGTTCCAACTGCCAACCTTTTGGTTAGTAGCCGAACACTTTTAACCACTGTGCCCCTAGCATTAGCTTTACTTTAAATCAGTGGTTTTAAAATCCATTTGCCCATTAAAACTACCTGGGGAGCTTTAAAATAACACAAATGCCAGGGTACCAGAGATGCTGAGATCTTGGGCTGCGGTGGGACCTGGCCACAGGTTTTTTTGTTTTGTTTTGTTTTCCAAAAAAGCTCTCTAGTTGATTATAATGTGCAGCCAGGAGAATCACTGGCAGGATGAATTCTGGCTGTGTCCTAGAACACTGTTTTCCTCCAGCCTTTTCTGGTGGGGACTGTTGATCCTCCCTCTTGTCCTCTAATCTCAGTGTTGAGAAATGAACACAGTGTCCTGTTTGCCTCTCGCTCTGATTTCAAGCCATTTTTTCCCTCTTTCTTGTGCTTGTGCTCTACAAATGCTTCAGCTAGCTATAGAACTCATTTTACCTTAGTCTTCAAAGACTTGGTTCCGGGTTTACTGTCCTTCTACCTGTCCCACCTCCTGTCACCATTCACAGTTGTGTTAAAGAAAGCTCCAGGAACCCTCTGGTTTCTCATTTTCTTCTCTTCCTCATCGATGCTGTCTTTTCCCTCTACTCACTTCTGACACCCACTTCCAGGGCTGAGGCTTAGCAGTATTAGAAAAGGCTTCTATTCAAATCGGGCTGTGAACTGCAAGGTCAGCAGTTCGAAACTACCAGCTGTTCCGTGCAAGAAAGTTGAGGCTTTCTGCTCCTGTAAAGATTTACAACCTCGGACACCCTGTACAGGGTCGCTATGAGTCGGAACCGACTCCATGGCACTTAACAACAACAACAACAATATGGCTGCTGTAACCAATCACCACAAACTAGGTGGCTTCAAACAACAGAAATGTATCCTCTCACAGTTCTAGAACCTAGAAATCTGAAATCAGGTTGTTGCTGGAGCTATGCTCCCTCTGAA